ATAAATTATTGTTAAAAATCATGAATTTTTAAAATATTTTAAAATCGCCTAAAAATTGTTACTCGGGGGTTTTCGGGGTCGCTGATTACGAATCCAGTGCTAGTTTTTCAAAATTCAAAATGGCGGATCTAATATGGCGGACGACAAATGTAAAAATTAAACGGATTGGCATGAAACTTGTTACTCGGGGGTTTTTAGGGCCGCTGATTACGAATATAATATCAGTTTTTTAAAATTCAAAATGGCGGATCCAAGATGGCGGAAGATTATTTTTAAACATTTTAATTTTACCTGAAAATTGTTACTCGGGTGTTTTCGGGGTCGCTGAATATGAATCCAGTGTTATATTTTTAAAATTAAAAATGGCGGATCCAATATGGCGGGCGTTATTTTTAAAATCGTTTAGTTTCACCAGAAACTTGTTACTCGGGTGTTTTCGGGGTCGCTGATTACGAATCCAGTGTTATATTTTTAAAATTCAAAATGGCGGATTCTATACGGCGGACGACAAATGTAAAAATTGTTTGGGTTAGAGGGAAACTTGTCACTCAAGGGTTTTTTTGGTCTCTTATCACGAATTTGTAGTTTATTATAAAATTGCGATTGTGTATTTATTTATTTATTTCTGTCAGTAGATGGACTTGTTTCTTTCTACTCTCACTGGATTCGTAATCAGTGATCCTGAAAACCCCCGAGTAACAAGTTTCTGGTAAAACTAAACGATTTAAAAGAAATCGTCCGCCATCTTGGATCCGCCATTTTGAATTTTTAAAAAATGATGTCATATTCGTAATAAGCGACCTCAAAAACCCCCGAGTAACAATTTCCAAGCCAATCCGATCAATCTGTAAAATGTTGCACGCCATATTGGATACGCCATTTTGAATTTAAGAAATTTTATAATTCTGATATCAGATTCGTAATCAGCGACCCCGAAAACCATGAATAACGTTACACTTACGTTTTTTTAACTGTCTAGTTATGCCTGGGTGTGAAAGGGTTATATAAGACCCTGAACAATTGTCCGGATGTGCGTATGTGTGTGTGTGTATGTGTGTGTGTGTGTGTGAATCTCGATTTTTGTGAACACGATAACTCGACGAGGTGTTAACGAATTTGGCTAAAATTTACCAGGTATATTGATCATAAAAATATCTCGAAATGGATTGATAGACTTTAAAAAATTCTCAGAAAATTTTCTTTTTTTAAATTTTTTCAAAAAAATTTTTTTAAGTTGGTTATTGAAGTTAATATATAATAAAATCTTATTCTTTGCATGAAGACGAATCGATTGGTATATAAAAAGTATAAATTGTATGAGAATTTACAGAGTTAATCACAATTAAAGCTAAAAAATTCGCATTTTTATAAAAAAATGAGTTCTTTCCGCAAAATTGTGTTGCCGTATAAGAAAATCCTACTCATTTATTTCTAAAATCTTATTCTTTGCACCAAGACGGATCGATTGGTATATGAGGCATTTTACGTGAAATGTCCTAAGTTGAAATTTCAACTTCTTGAAAAAAATTGAAACTCAAGGAATTTGTTGTTCTATCAAGTATAAATGTGACCCAAAAAATATTTTTGATTTTTTCGAAAAATTGGAGGGGGTAGAGGGGGGTCAATTTGACCAATTTTGCAAACATCGGCTACTTTGTGAATTTTTTCTGAACATACTTGTAATGGGAAAAATTTTTTAGAATATGTTTCTGAAAGGTTTTTTCGTCCTCTTTCCAATGGTGTATTTTATTTTTTAATATTTTAAAAATTTACTCTATTTTTTGATAATTTATATTTAATTTTAAATTTCCCAAAAATCGGTCCGTTTTTTTTTAAATAAATTATTTCAAACGAAAGCTGAGGTTTTTTCCTATCGGCATGTAAGTTTTCAGAATGCCCTTTTTTTGTTTTTGAGTTATTAAATTTCAAAGAATAAATTGCGTCCCGGGCGCCTCGTCTCACGCTGGTTGCCACGCGGCTTAGTGCAACCGTGAGTCGCGGTTGCATTCGATCGAGAAATCGCTCGAAAAAAACGAGAAATCTCGTGAAGAAGACAATGAAAACAATTGAATGTGATTTATCATTCAATTTTTTCATTGCCTTCTTCACGAGATTTCTTGTTTTTTTCGAGCGATTTCTCGATCGAATGCAACACTAACCGCGACGCAGCGCGCTGCAATTTATTCTTTGAAATTTAATAACTCAAAAAAAGGGCATTCTGAAAATTTACATGCCGATAGGAAGAAACCTCAGCTTTTGTTTGCAATAATTTATTTTTTAAAAAAACGGACCGACTTTTGGGAAATTGAAAATTAAATATTAACTATAAAAAATTAGGGTAAATTTTTAAAATATTAAAAAATAAAATACACCATTGGAAAGAGGACGAAAAAACCTTTCAGAAACATATTCTAAAAAATTTTTCCCATTACAAGTATGTTCAGAAAAAATTCACAAGGTAGCCGATGTTGGCAAAATTTGTCAAATTGACCCCCCTCTACCCCCTCCAATTTTTCGAAAAAATCAAAAATATTTTTTGGGTCACATTTCTACTTGATAGAACAACATATTCCTTGAGTTTCAATTTTTTTCAAGAAGTTGAAATTTCAACTTAGGACATTTCACGTAAAATGCCTCATATATAAAGTACCTATATATTGAATTTAAATTTATAGAATTAAAACCATTATTATAGACAAAAAATTTGTACTTTTAATAAAAATTCATTTTTTCTTAAAAATCATGTTGCTGTACAATAAAATGTTATTATTTATTAAAAATAAATAAAAAATGTCTTTGCATCAAGACGAATCGATTCATGTATATAAAGTATATATTCTATTGAAAATTATTAGAGCTGTGCAAAATAATTCGAACCGAACTTATCGAATTTTTTCGCTTAGTTCGAATGTCGAAAAACCGACATTCGAACTATCCCAGTAAGGATGTCGAATATTCGACATTCGAGTTACTACAAAATTCGAACCGAACCGAGTTTTGTTCGGTTTTGGTACGCTAAAATGTCGAATTCTAAAATTCGACATTTCGGCGCCCCAAAACCGAACTAAACTCGGTTCGGTTCGAATTTTGCACAGCTCTAAAAATTATAGAATTAATTAGAATCAAATTTGAAAAATTCACTTTTTTACTAAAAATTTGTTTGTTTATTTAGATTCATATTACTGTATAAGAAAATTTTATTCTTTCTATTAAGACGAATGCACTTTATTTTATAAATGTTAAGTTGTATTAAAAATGATTTCAAAATGAAATATATTTATCGTTAATGCTTCCTCCACGAGGAAGCAAATTTTTTTTGCTTTTAACAATATTATTCCGATCCCACTTTTTCATCAACTTTTTCGACTTGATGAAAAAGTGTGATCGGAATAATATTGTTTATAAATTTAATTGTAATAGTTGCCCTGCAATATATATTGGTGAATCAAAGCGTACTTTGAAAAAAAGAATTAGCGAGCATAAAAACAAAAACCTCGAATCCGTTGTGAACAAACATCAAACTGAATATAATTATTCTTTTAATTTTGACGATGCAGAAATTTTAGATTATGAAACTTCTTATAAAAAACGATTAATTTCTGAGATGATTTATATTAAATGCAATAATTTTACTATTAACAAGAAGGAAGATGTACATTTTCTTAGTAATTCCTATTTTCCTTTGCTTAATAAATTGAAATAATGGTTATAATTCATAATATTTCGATTGCGGGTCATTGACCCCATCGACTGTATATAACGCGAAAATTGCCACCGACTCAGTCAGTTTGACTAATCACTCGTTTTAATATGTTTGTGATTTGTAAATTTAAATATTTTATTTTCATAACGCGGTGCTAAAAAGGGCACTTTTTGCACCTTGTTATGAAAAATGTCGTTCGTAACTAGTGCGAGGAGTTGCCAATTTTTTTTGCCTACAGTTTGTTCCAAAAAAGTCCTCGTTCAAAAATTGGCAACTGCTAGCACTCGTTACGAAATATACTATTTCTGAATTTCAATTATTGTATCAAAATTCATCTAAACTAGAATCAGAGGTTTAACCAATTTTCTTCAGACGACCACCAATTTCTTGGTCAATAAGCTTCGTTTTCCGTATATAATTACTCACCATTATGTATGTCACCTTAAAAAGAACAATTAAACACTTTTTTAAAATTTGCAATGTCATTAACAGGATTTTACCGTGCCGTATTATCTCTACTATCCATGCCCCGTGAACCCATATTTCAGTTTTTTCTAAATTTTATGGAACAACGTGAATTAATTTGAAAAATTAATTTGAAAATTCCACTCCGGAAAACACTGAAGTAAATAAATATTCTGAAACTCTAATATAGAAAACAATATGATAAACATTACGTTGACATTTTAGCAAAACAGACTTTTTTTAAAAATAAACGCCTAACTTCGCAAATGGTGACAGATTGCCTTCCAATTTTTACTATCATCTTTTGGTGTCAAGACGCGAATATACAATGAATTATGCGATTTTTGAGTAAGCCGTCTAAGCATAACAGCAACTAACTCTCCTTGCCCCATCCTCCCCTATAAACGGATGATAAACCCTTTACAAAGTATAAAGATATTGACAAGAACTTGCCGTTTTTTTGTTTATTATACCTAAATAATATTCGGAATATTAAATTTATAATCAATTTTTAAATAGTTTTTTTTATTTTTTAATGACTCATCTGTCTCTGCTATATTAAATTTTAATTACTAAAATAATAAATTAAAAAATTATTAAATAAGGAAATAATTAGAAAAAAGTGGGAAATAGGAAGTAAGAATTTAGAAAAGAATAATTACAAAAAAATAGAAAATAAATAATTTGCAAGAAAAAATTGTATAATAAATTAAAAAAATTTTGTCAGATGTACATAACAAATTTTAAATAATTTTAAAATATGACTTCCTTATTATTTTTTTGTTAAAGATTTTTTTTCAAATAATATTGTATATAGAATTTTTTTGAATACCTGTTCAAGTATTTTAACTCGTAATGCTCCTCTGGTTTCACGGTTTTCAACTTTTCTTCCTTCGCATAAAATCCTCCATTCAATCGAATTTCATTATCTAATAAATGTTTATAGTATGGCTGCGATGCTTCATTGGTAACATTTAATGCCCTGAAAGGAAACATTAAATCTTAACTATTAAACTGTTTTATTGCCATCATTGCGCACGTTTAGTTGCCGCATGCAACATATAACGACACAATTGTTTTTACTCAACTAAACAATATAACAAGACAAAAAATTATAAACAAACTAATAAAATTTTTCAATTAAAATTTTTATTAAACAATAATAATAATAATGTCTTTGTTGCTGCTTGTCCACTGCCGAACATCATTGATGTCTTTGATGTGCTGGGAGAAGTGGGTCCACTGCCAAACATTTGGCATGTGTTCTCAGCGGTGCGGAGTGTAACCGCAAGGACCGTAAGACACGGAAGAGAGAGGGTGACAGTCCAGAGGAGACTAGAACCCAAACCGATAGCAGCAAAAGCTACAACACGGAAAGAAGGTTTCACCATATAAACACTGTGCAAGCACCTTATTTCTACGTTTGTGACACATAGAAGTATGGTGCAAAGTTAGCAGTATCTTTTTTCGTGCCTTTTACCGCTTTCTGACGGTGCACGTAAGAAGACAAGAGGGTGCACGCATGAGATATTACTATGAATGCACCGGAAATTTCGGTGACGTCACCGTAATTTTCGGCGACGCTCACCATAAAATCCCGTGCCTTCACTGGATTTCGACGTGCTTGTCAGACTGTTCTAACCTGTCAAACGAGGCACTGTCGTTATGGGTGAAACCTTCTTTCCGTGAAAGAAGGGAGACCTTCTGATTAAGATCAGAGGAGACTCCGACAAGGACGCTTTCACCGCTGAGGTCACCAAGGCGGTTGGAAGCATGGGTAAGGTGCAGTCGTTGGATCGAAGAGTTACACTCAAGATCCGTGATTTGGATTGCCTTACCCAAGAAGCCGAGGTGCAACAAGTTTCGTTTGAAGCGATGGGAAAGCCAGGAAGTAGGAGAGTGACGGTCTTAGGACTCAACCGCCGAGGGTTGAAGCTCGCGGTTGTAGTCACCAACCCGGAAGAGGCGAACAGGCTAGAGAAATTGGGACACGTAAAAATTGGTTTTATGTTTTGCCCAATTGAAAAAAGGGTAATGGTCGTTCGGTGTCATCGATGCTTGGAATACGGTCATATTGGAGCGACATGCCAGAAGGAGGACAGATCGGCTGCGTGATTTGAGTGCGGTGAAGCCGGTCACAGGTTCTTCAACTGTAAAAAGAGCCCAAGCTGCTTCTGTGCAAGGAAAAGTTTGACAATAAGGTGTCAACCAGACATATTGCAGGCGGCGGAGGATGCGTAGTCTTCAGGACGGCCCGACGAGAAGGCGAAAAAGACTCTCGCAAGAACTAAAAGTAAATAATTATTAAAAGGAGCGAATAATTTTGAATAATTTATTTTATATTATTAAATTTTTTTTTCGTTTTTTACTGTTTTTTTACATTTTTATTCTGCTAACTTTTATATATTTGTTTATTTATTCTATTATTTGATTTATTTGTGTTTTTATTTAACTTGTCCTTTTACAATTTTACCTTTATATATATATATGTTTAATTGATTCATTTATGATTTTTATGTTTGTTTTGTATTTTTTGAATAATAAGAAAAATAATAATAATGAGGGTAAACTCTGTAAAGAGATACCAGGATGCACTCCCTCTACGGAAAATTCCTGTTATCTTGGAAAGACACATCGACCTCCACGTCCAAACGAACATGTTCACGTGCCTTTGGATATCATAGACGTCGCATCAATGCTCCGGCAATACTATAACGTCTATGTCACTAACGAAGGCAGTTCAAGGCCCATCTTGGCCAGATGGTAGTGCCCTGTTTAGGCTTGCTGGTTCCTCGACGCGGGATAAAGAAATAAAAAATATATGAAATGGGCAAAAATTTAAATAATATACTCCAAGTGGGTACCTCGGATGGGGGTAATCTCACCACCGATTCTGAGCAGGTTCAAGCCCTGATAGTCGGTGCACATGGCTCCAAGGATTTTGGAGGGAGAAAAATAGGTAGTCAGTTGACAAGCTACGAAGCAAATGTCGCTAATCAGTTCCTGTTTATTCCTGGAATTTTTAAAAGTATGTGTCAAGCATTTAAGCGCCAAAGGAACGTCAGTCGTGACATCCAGGATGGCGTCACAATTTTGGAAAGTGCGTTCGATATAATTCTTAATAATCTGCGTTTCATCCCCGATCCATTTAAGGATCAAGAGCCTAAAACTCCAACTGTGGGAACTCCACGGCAGACGAAAAGTGCTACTGCAACTCTGGATGGTGCAGCTGCAGGCCCTAATAAGGCAAACAATGGTAATAAACGCCCCAGGGAAGGTGTAAGCCCAGATGTGAGTCCACAACAAGTGACTCAAAGCGAAAAGAGGATTAAGCGAAAGAATTCTCCACAGCTTAATTCTGAGTCGCTAGTTGGAACTAAAGAAACGTTCTCAGGTAGTCCTAAGAAGACGTATGCTAATACCGTCTTCAAAAGCGGAACAGACGTTGGGGACGATTTTAAAGTTGTCGATAAGAGGAAGAAAAGGGCTCTAAGAAAAAAGCTCTCAGGTGAGAAAAAGAGCTCGTGAAGCCCCCTTCAAAGCTCAGGTCCACGGAAGCTGTAAAGATCACGACAAGAGACCCAAAGTTTCATGAGGGTATTTTGCCGCTGATAAAAGCAAAGGTTAAACCTGACGATACAGGTACCGTGATCCAGAAGATCAGGAGGTTCTCGTGATAGTGAAAAAGGGTGGAGAGTCCTTAAAATTTGCGGAGGCACTCTCTTCGGCCCTGCATGGCAAGGCTGAGGTCACAGCTCTAGTGAATAGAAGGTCTCTAGAGATCAAGGATCTGGATGAAGCCACCACAGAGGTTAAGGTGACTTCAGCACTGAGGAAAAAGCTGGGTTAACCCGACCTGACTATGGAGTGCCGACTTTGCCACGCTACAGAGGAACTAATGTTGCTCTGTTACGCCTGACAGAGGCAAAAAGTAACACTTTGCTAAAGTTTGGTAGCATAAAAATCGGCTGGATAAATGCTCTAATTCGCGAGCATGTTAAAGTGGCTAGGTTCCAAAAGTGCCTAGTCTACGGACACTTAACCCGAACCTGCAAAGGCCCCGACAGAAGTAAAAACTGCCGGAGATGCATCGATTAGGGCCATCTCGCGAAGACCTGGGGAAACCAGAAATTGACAATGACACCGGAAAGAGAGCTTGTCCGGTGTACAGGAAAGAACTGCAAAAGCTTAAAAGGGCAAATCCGTAAAGTTTTTGCAGGTCAACCTGCATACAAGTAAGGATGCACAGGTGCTCCTGAGGCAAACAGCAAGGGAAAATGAGGAAATATCCTGTACTGCAGTGAGCAGTATCAAGAAAGCGACCTCGCCCCTTGGTATCAGGATAAGGCGAGGAGAGCTGCCATAAAGCTGTGCAACCCAGAATTGCGGGTTGACAAGTTCCTGGAGACGAGCAGTGGTTTCGTGTGGATAGCGGTAGCTAATATACGTATGTATAGCTGCTACTTCTCACCCAACGACCCACTGACCAACTTCGCAGCCAATATAGAAGACCTAGAAGCGATAGCCTCACAGAATCCAGACTGGATATCATCATCATTAGCGATTTTAACGCAAAGTCGCCAAAGTGGGGTGAGACCAGACTCGACAAAAGAGGAATTCTGATTGGAGAAATGATCTTCAGGAACGACCTATTAGTGGTAAGCCGGGGAAATACATGGACGTTTAGACAAGGTGCGATCGGATCGATTATAGATCTAACGATCGCATCGTCTAAAATATCAAGCCGCATAAGCGACTGGCGGGTCTCTGAAGAATATACTGCAAGTGACCATCAGTACATTGAGTTTTAAGTCTCGATGGGAGACACACGAGGAGGAAAAAGACAGGAAGTTCCTAGTCGGAAAACCTCCTTGTGGAATATTAAGAGAACCCCTCTTAATTGAGGACTTGGGCTGCGTGAAGAGGCCGAGCAGTCTGGATGGGGAAGTGCGAGCGGTGAGGAACATGATAGTCACCGCTTACAATGCGTCAATGCCACGCAAAGGCACCATTTCCGTAAAAAAATTCTTGCACTGGTGGTCAGAGGGGCTAGCCTTCTCTGAAAGGACTGCCTCAAAGCAAGAAGGACATACACCCGATCTAAGGGAGATCCCTTGCTGAAAGAGGCTTTCAAGGAGGCAAAAAAAAACCTCAAAAAAGAGATCTGAAGGTCGCGGCGCCGTAGCTGGAAGGACCTAATCGAGGAAGTCGATGTGGACCCATGAAGTCTGGTTTTTAAAATCGTTACTAAGGAATTAGTGACGAGGCAAAAGACCCCCGGCCTGGGAAATCCCGATTGGGTTAGACAGACTTTTATATTTATTTATATTTATACACTCATCTCTTTGCCTTAATACTAGCGTTTACAAGTGTCCCCGAGGAAATTTTCTTACATACTACATTTTCGTACATGCTATTTTAAATTTTTGCGCCTACAAAACGACTTGAAAATTAGGAGTACTCGCATTTGCCTGGATCACCCGTCTAATGGGTTTTCTCGCCAGTGGAGAGGGAAACTGTAGAAACCCTCTTCGAGTATAACCGGTTTATCGACAGTCGAGTTCTAATGGTGTGTACCGGACAATAATCGACAGTGCACATCATTATAGCTCGAGGTCAAACCTGCAAAGTCAAAAAGAAAGAACTTTTTACACTTAGTAAATTGAAAAGCGCAGGCAAAAGATTGAAAACAGGTAAGGCGCCTGGAATCGATGGGATAAGTAACGAGATCCTGAAATTGGTTATCGGCACTTCACACCAGATTCTGCTTAGATGTTTCAATCTTTGCCTTGAGAAAGGAGAGTTCTTCTGCGACTGGAAGCGGCAGAAGCTAGTCCTCCTAAGAAAAGGCGAAAAACCACTGGATAAAGTTTTGTCGTAAAAGGCCTATATGCCTGCTAGATACGATGGGTAAACTTCTAGAGGAAGTTAAAAAAATATTAATAAGTTTATTAAGTAAATTAATAAAATATTAAGTTTATTATTAAGTTCTGCAGAGAATGCAAAGCCACTTGACCGGAGAGAATAGTCTATCCGATCACCAATTTGGTGTCCGTAAAGGCAAGTCTACAGTTGATGCCATCCAAGTAGTAGTAGACATAGCAAAATCAGGAAAAAACAAATTGGGACCAGTGAAAAAGAAGAGCTTTTAAGCGTTCGTAGAAATTGACATACGCAACTCGTTTAATTTCGCAAGATGGAAAGATCTTAACGAGTCGATAAGAAAGAAAAACATGCCGCCCTACTTGTTGCGGATAATGGATACTTATCATAATGACAGGTGGGTTATATATGAGGGAGACACCTGCACTCTCAAGGAAGAGATGCAGCGTGGAGCTCCTCAAGGCTCGAGGGTAGGTCCATTTGTATGGAATGTATCTTACGATGAATTCCTGCGGATGGATCTGCCCAAAGGTGCGGTGATCATCGGCTTTGCAGACGACGCGTTGTTCGTATGCACTGACGAAAGTGAGGAGGCTCTTGGGACATTGGTGAACGAATGTCTGCGACCATCAAAAAGCTGACTGGATACCAGAGGTCTTGAAATGACCCTGGAAAAGACCGAGGCACTGCTGGTCACAGACAGACGTGGTTATGAGCTCCCACGAATCGTGATGGACGGATTCGAGGTCAAGTGGAGTAAACAACTTAAATATCTTGGTGTGGAGTTGGATGGAAGATTAAACTTCCACCACCACATGTCTACGCCGTCAAATAAGGAAATCGAGTGTGCGGCTAATCTTTCACGGCTAATGACAAATGTAGGCGGACCCCGTGAACAAAAAAGAAGACCGGTGGAAAGTGTCGCCCATGCTAAAATGCTTTATTCAGCACCAGCGTGGGCCCCATCCCTGAAGAGTAAAAAATGTGTGACCATCTGTGACAAGATACTGTCGGCGCAGAGATCGATAACAACGCGTATCATCTCTGCGTATAAAACGGTATCTACGAGTGCTGTGCCACCAGATCTTTTGGCGAGAGAAAGGGAGAAAATCTTTCTCCTTTATAAAAAAGAAATTCCTCAGAAGAGAAAATTAGACCTAGCAAGGGCCTGATCCGCAAAGAAGCGAGGCGCAGGCTCATAGACAGATGGCAGGAAAGATGGGATAGTGAGGAAAAGGGTCGATGGACTTATCGCCTTATCCTGGCACTCGTCACCTGGATGAATAGGAAACAAGGTTAGGTTTCCTATTAATTGACGCAAGCGCTTACAGGGCATGGGTGTATTAATGCGTACCTGTATCGCACAGTGGGATAGATAGCAAATCTAGGTGGACAAAATTAATTATTCAGTGGTTTATGAATAGATTTTTATAAATCTTCATAACTAAGAATTTTCGAGGTCGCTTATTACTAATCTGATGTTAGTTTTTCAAAATTCAAAATGGCAAATCCCATATGGCGGATGTATTTTTTAAAAACATAATGGATTTTATTGAAACTGGGCACTTATGGGTTTTTGAGGTCGCTGATTACAAATGTGAAGTTAGTTCTTCAAAATTCAAAATGGCGGATGAACTTTGAAAAATATGATAGATTTTTTCAAATTTGGTATCTTAAGGATTCGGATGTAGCAGATAACGAATTTGAAGTTAGTTTTTACATTTTTAAAATGTCGAATCAAATATGAGAAACAAATTTTAAAAAGTATGACTGTTAGTCCGATTCATTTCTTATAAAGTAATAAATATAACCTTAACCGTAATACAATCTTTAAAGTCAAATATAAGACAAAGTAATCAAAAGTAATCAATAATTCTGTTTGTGCTCTAACCTTACATATTTAGTTGTCAGAAAATGTGAAAATAACATTAAAAAAGTTTGATAATTTTTATTTCTATACTTTATTTAATCGTTGTATAATTTCATTTGGTACGTATTTACCGCAATTAATGGTTTTAACTATATATTATAAAATATAAAACAGGAAATTAACAAAACAATATAGTTAAGTTATACAATGAACTATAACATCAAGAAAATCTCCAATTTTTCAAAGCATTGAATGTTAAACACGTCTCAATCAAAAACTACGAATCAAAGAAAAATTAGATACTCGCAAAAACACATTTATTAAACATAAATATAGCTACATAGAATAATCTTTTGGGTTCCTAGACTTCAGGACCCTTCTAAAAGATTACTTGAGATTATGTTCCTAATGCATTAACATTAATTTATTGACTTTCATTTTTTGTATTTTGTCCACCTATATTTGGAATCTATCCCACTGTGTATCGCTTTAAATTACGCGAAGATGAGGTGTATGTGTACTGCCAGTTCCTTATGGACAACGCAGAGCACATCCTCTTCTCATGCAAGAAATAGGACTTGGAAAGGCGGGCCATGTTCGAAGGTGTAAATAGTCAAGTTACACCGGCGAACATGGTATCGCTGATGACCCAGTCAGAAGAAAATTGGCGGCATGACTAGAACTTCATAATCTCGGTTATGTCGAGAAAAGAACTCAACGGCCGCCAATGTTTTGTTCCATATTATCTTAATTTATACTATGATTAATTTGTCCTTTTACAATTTTAATTTATTTTGTGATTTTTATTTGTTCTTATACAATTTTATCTTTTAACTTCATATATCTGTTTACTTTATATGTTTCTGTTTTTATACCCGTTTACTGGTATATCTTGTGACTTTTAACACTTTTTAGCATTTTTTTTTTATTTTTGTGCTGTAAATTCCGCTTAGACATTGAAAAAGTTTAAAATTTTTTAACTATTGACGCAGGAGAACCACAGAGAAAGAAGAAGGCCGCATCAGCGACAGAGTTGGAGCTCCACCCTCGAAGGCTAAAGTCGTATGACAGTTCCGAGGGAGGGTAAAGGGCTCCAAAAAAAGGGTTACGGGTTTTAGTGGGTCGGGCTGTCAGTAAGTCGCCAGTTTATTAAATTTATTATGTTATTGATTAATTTATTTATCTTTTCATATTTCCTTTTGATTTATTATACCAACCCCACATAACCTTGGAGTGCGGAATCCAAGGAATCTGTAGGCAGATTTTCCAAAATTCACTAAGCAAAAAAAATATAATAATAATAATAAAAACAATAACAATAATAATGCATAACAAAATAAGATTTTTATGGCAAATGAAAGAAATTCTTTTAGAAACATTTTGTCATTCCGCGTCATGAATATAATATTATTAAATACTTGAGAGATAAATAAATCATCTGAGACTATTTGTAATATACGAGAAAGGAAGATAAAAAATGCTTGTAAATATATTTTTCTCCATACTAGAATGAAGAGATGATAAAAAAGAAGAAAATGTTTTTTACCGTTCTAAAGACTCGCTTAAGATGCCTTGATGCAGATCGTGACTGGCACAAGGAAGTGGATGTGATGGAGTCATAACGTCGAAAGCACGATATGCTATGGTATGGTAAGGGGGCGATGTGTCGTCATCTCCGGACAAATATCGGCTCGTTGGTTCGATATAGTACTCTTCAAAACCTGTCACTATTGTACCGTCAAAAAGACCGTCATCTGTCACAAGTCCTTGCACCACAGCATTTTCATCATCTGCAAAAACCAATTGAAAAAGCAAATATAATATAAATTGTACAAATTCGCATTTAAATTGGAAAATTTCTTATCTTGCCCTCTAATATGGAGAAATTTTTATAAAAATTTTTTTTAAATAAATCTTACTATCTAAATTTGAATTTCCCAAAATGTTCACTAATTAGAAAATTTTACTAATTCATAAGCAAAAAGTCAGACACTAATTCAAATTAGTAAACATTTTTACTCATTCAAATTTAGAGAGTAAAATTTAATTTTAAAAAAATATAAAATTAAACTAAACTTCAATTCCTTCCTTTAAAGTAAACTGGATATAAATTAGTATATTTCGTAACGAGTGCGAGCAGTTGCCAATTTTTGAACGAGCACTTTTTTTTTAACAAACAGTAGGCGAAAAATAGGTGTGCGAAAAGCTCGAAGCTCGATCGAGTATTTTCGAGCTTTTCATTTTTCGAGCTCGGGCCGAGCCGAGCTTTATAAAAAGCTCGAATAATTTCGAGTACTCGATACATCGAGCCCGGCTCGAAAAAATTGCGGCTCGGCTCGTCTATTCAAGCTATTTTGCACACTTCTAATAAATATAAAAAATAATAAAATTAATAAAAACTTAAAATTACAGAAAAAGAATCTATTTCTTTCAAACAATCGCGCTTACTTGACTATTAAATGAATGATATTTTATACCATCTGTCGTAACCGTCTTCGACGGGTTTTAGTTTCTACCAATACATTTAACAGTGTATCTACCAATCTGGAAAACCACACGGAGAAAAATGGATAGTTAAAAGTAGATAGTTAAAAAGGATATAATCAAATTCATTATTTGTATAGTCAGAAATATTATATATTCCCGTTTAGTATATCTAGATAATCAAATTTATTATCCTGGATAGTATGTAAGTTTGATTATCCCAAGATACTAAATTTGAATATCTAGATAGTTGTCCTATAGTTGAGTATCCAAGATCATCACCCATGACTATCTAGATAATAAATTTGACTATCCATTTTTCTCCGTGCAGAAAATAGCACAGAATTTAATTTGACCGGAAAAAAATAATAAGATACAATATGTTTAATAATACGAACAATATTTGTCAATTTGAAGTACTTTAATTAATATATTAAACATCAATCCAAAATTTTTAAAAAATTTTGGAGTTATAGTAGAGTCTAATTCGAATTAATTGTATCGCAAGTAGATCCTAGGTTACGACTGTTAAAATCTAAAATAACATCTATATTGTAGGCTAAAACTAGGACTTAAATTTTGACTCGGGTCAGTTTTCATAAATATTACATCAATAAAAATTAAAGTAAAAAGCAATTGTGGATTTTACCGGGCATTAAACATTAAAGCATATTTTTTTGAAAAACGAATAACTTTTATCCATTTAGTTAGAATTTGTTTATTTTTTAGGTAATAATAGTTGATAATCTAACAATTTAAAGTGCAATATTAAAGAAAAAAATCTAAAATTTGCCCGGAAAAAAAGTCAAAAAAAATTTTGATTTCATTTTTTCGGGCATAAGCACCCCTTTGATTTTTTTGTAACTATAATATTTGGATTCGTTATCTTCTCCAGAATTTTTTGCAAAAAAAATCCCTAGAGACTTTAAAACTAACCGAAATATCGAATTTTTTGTCTCGAGGTGCACAGATATCGATCTCGCGTAAACACGCCTCTGAGATGTGCACCGAACGTTCTTAAGCGTAAATTTTCGCATTCTAATATTTTTTTGTTAATTTTAAGTAAAAAAGGAAGGTTTAAAAATCAAGTTTTGCAATTATAAATTTGTTTTTAAACAATTTTGAATCTCAAAATGTGTATGTAATATATAAAGGGCAAATTTTTTAATTTCTTTTTATACAACTCAGGCGTATTATGGTAACTTTATCTACCTGTACAGGCGCGTACTAAGTTCCCCCTTATAACCCAGCAATCAATAAAGTAACCATTATAGCCCTAGGGAGATAAAGGGTATATTATTGACCGCTCACAGGTCAATAAAGAACCCTTTATCTCCCTAGGGCAATAATGGTTACTTTATTGACCAGCTGGGTTATATGGGAGAACTTAGCATGCACCGGAACAGGTAGCATAGAGTAACCATAACACGCCTTTGTTGTATAAAGCAAAGTATGCAACAAGAGAGGTAACCTCGTTTATGACCTCGCACAATATTGAAAAACTCGTCTTCGCACTCGCTCGGTTCGTGCTACGACTCGTTTTTCAATATTGTGCTCGGTATATAAACTCGGACGTACCTCCCTTGTTGCATAATGTACTATTAAAATAATCAACTATTAGAAAATTTGAACCAATAATTATAATATTGAGTTCACCCCAAGTACAATGTACTTATGTTGAAAGTTTAAAAACTGTATCTCTGACAGTCGCTTTAGAACCTACTAATGAAGTAAATAATATTATAATAATTTTATTTTAAAAAATTAAATTATTATTAAAAATATATATTTTAATGCATCAACTTACAAAAAAATTCACTTCACAATAAAATATTAACTTTAAAATAATAGTAATAATAATAATAAAAAGTAGAGCTTCTAAAGCGACTGTCAGAGATACGTAGTTTTTGCATGGAACTTGAAAGATACGTAGTTTCCAAAACAATCCTCTAACTTACGTGACTTCTGAAACAAACGTGGACGATAGGTTATAGAATCAAACTTAAATTTAGATAAGAAAAGGTATAGTTTTTCTTTAATTTCATATTATTATTTCGTACAAAAGATAGATTAAAAGTCTAGGAATATTTTTGATTGTTTCAAGCAGTAATTATTTTTTTTATAAATATTAGTTAATAATAGTATAATAACATTTTATGTTATGATACTATGACAAGAATACATCTTTTTTCAACGTATAAAAATCCTTTTTTTCTGTTTCAAAAAGAAAAGAGACTTTGATATCAAGTGTTCATGACAAATTCTAATTAAACGTCGAGAGAATTTCCCGTAAAACCAACAGTTGCTCAAATACTCATAAACAACATTTCTACCAAATGGCAAAACATTTCCATCCAGTTTATACTGATTACAAACACGTCGCTTTTGTTTATATCAAGTTCAAAATAAGAATTTTTTAAATTTTTATTATATTATCGTTATTAATATTATTTGTGACGAACCAACTTCGTTACAATTTATCCCTTCGTGATAACAAAATACAAATATAATGTTTATAAGAAAGTGTGAACAAAATACAAATACCTATATTAAAAATAATAATAAAACAAACATAATTCATCTATTCGTTATAATATTGGTTACAAGAATTAAAATAGAAGTAAAATACATAAAATATAATTCTCATTTATTATAGCTGTTTATTACATTTCACACATTTTTAAATTTGCTTTGAAAAGTGAATGAACTTAATTTAAAAGAATGATACTTAAAATACTAATGTATTGTGAAATCTAAGAAGTGGTGTGTCCAGGTTAATGAACCAAGATCACACCACTGTCCAAAAATGCAAGCTTGCAGAAAAGCGCCTGGCAACGAGCAGGTGCAATAAACTAAAGAATAATTTCAACACTGTAATGTCGATTAATAAAATCGATTAACACAGGGAAATCTGGGCATTTTCCCGTGAGTCTTCGCGATAGTAAGTCGTGGGTCAGTTTGACCGTTATTTTGAATATAAAGAAGTTCTCATGCTTATTACTAATAATTAATAATTAAGTATAAAAAGTGAAAAATAATAAAAGTTCTAAGTGAGAAATTGTTTTATAAAAAGTTGATTTAAAATAAATATTATAAAAAAAGATTTAAAAAAGTTTAAAGGAATAATATCAATTAACAAATAGGTGAGTCAATTGCATACATACACTTAAATAATACTTCACACACACGCAAATATACATTTGAGGAGAATAAAGATTGTGTTAGAATTATATACATATTAACACGAATATATTATAGTTATAAATTAAAGATATAAAAGAGAATAAAAAAAGGATAAATAAACATGTATTAGGGTTTTAGAGGAACGAATAATAAATTGTAATTGTTTATAATTATCTTAACTTCCTTTAACACCTTATTCTAAAATAAGATATAAGAAAATTAAACAAAATCCATAGAATTTACTTTGTAAATCAGAATTGTATTTCAATATAATTCAGAGAAAAGTAAGTGTCGTTTTAACACCAAATTTGGTGTTAAAACGACACGCAACATTTTTTCACTAGTGGTGTTATTTTAACACTACATTCGGTGTTAGTTTATATTATACTAACTACACCAATACTACTGTTAAAACGACACCACTTTCAAATAACACGCAACATATTTAACACCTACTTTTTTCTGTGATTACTGTTAAACTAAGAAAATAGTCAAATTCGACTAAGTGAATTTAGTTTCAAAAATTTTTAGTTGTATTGCCATAATCTAAAAGTAAATTTAACTAGTAATTATTAATTATACTGTAGCTTTGTCATTCGAAGCGAACAAAAAAGTACAGCAAAATTATTTCAGAATTTATAACAATTTTTTTTCTGCCACTCCCTATCGTGAGCTTTATGATGTATATATATATATATATATATAACTGTGGGGGCAGATTAGGAGGGGAATTCTAAAACCTAAGCCATTAAAAGGAAAGTGACGCAATTTAATTTTTGTCATAAAATTCCGTTTTTATATTACATCTATATAACTGAAAACAATAAAAAAAAATCTTGGAAACTGTTAAATTGAGGGAAGAATATAAAAATATGAAGTTTTAATATGTATGGAAAATTTTTCCCTTTACAAACAAATTTTTCAAAAAAGGAAAATATAAATAAAAAAAAGGCTTGTCCCAACTATGAATAAAAAAGAAAAGAAAATAGAAAAAAATAGAAAATAAATCGAAGGTAATTTTTGAAGTGAAAACGTTAAGATTTTTTGGACAAAGTTATAAAAGAAGGAGCTTAATGCTTCCGGGAAAATATAGTACAAGTGGAAAAGTTGTTGAGAATGGTCG